TGTTCCCTCTTTTGAGCTACTGCTTCCATAGGTGTAGGTCAAGTTCATCAAATTGTATGAGAATACTTTTTTTTTTTTTCCCTCTTCTTTTTACTTCTGGTTGAGCTCTGATCATCCAGTCACTGAAGCCCGGATAAGTGGGTATTATCTGTAAGTGTGGGTGTTCTTATGCATATGCCTGACCCTATACTTTACCAAACATGATGCCCTTCTTCATGGACTAGTCCTTCCTGATAACATGTCTAAAGTATGAGAGACAAAGTCTAGTCATCTTGGCTTCTGAGAAGCATTCTGGCTGTACAGCTTCCAACACAGATTTATTTGTTCCTCTAACAGTCCATGGTGCTTTGAATATTCTTCTCCAGCACCATAACTCAAATGCATCAGTTCTTCTATGGTCTTCCATATACATTGTCCAGTTTTCACATGTGTATAAAGATATGGAAATTACCCTGGCTTAGGTCAGGTGCATCTTAGTCCTCAGACTGACATCTTTGCTCTTCAACACTTCAAAGGTTCTTGTGCAGCAGATTTACCCAGTGCAGTCAGTACGTAGTCTGAGTTCTTGACTGCTGCGTCCATGAGTGTTGACTGTAGAACCAAGCAAAAGGAAGTCTTTGGCAACTTCAATCTTTTCTCCATTCGACATGATGTTACTTATTGGTCCAGTGGTGAGGATTTTTGTTTTCTTTACATTGCTATACATTTAATATTTTGCCCAGGTTGTTGTTTTTGTTAAGTGCTGTCGAGTCTCTTCCAACCCATAGCAACCCTATATAATAGGGTTTCCGAGGAGTGGCTGGTGAACTTGAACTACCGACCTTGCGGGCCAACTGAATTTGCAGTCCAGCACATTAACACACAACGCCACACCAGAACTCCATTTTGCCCATAGAGTCTTTTCAATAACGCAGGTCGAGGCTTGAAATTTTCTTTATTTCTTTCTCATAGATGCTGAGTGTGTCCTTCCCTTTTGGTTTTCTAACTCCAGGGCTTTGCACATTTTGTTATAATACTTGACAAAAACCGTTAGTTCTCATAAAGTCTTAAAAGTGCTACGAATGTGACAGGCTCAAGGCCTGGTTTTTTTAAAAAAGAAAACTTTGTTCAGGCATAATTCACAGAATTCTCTCTTTTAAAATGGACCATTTAGTAGTTTTTACTGGGTTCACAAAGCTATGCAGCATCGTAACTTCCTACTTCTGGAGTATTTCATAAGCACAGAAAGAAACCTCAGACCGTCAGTCATCACTCAGCATTCTCTCTCGTCTCCCGTACAGACACTAACTGACTTTCTGTCTTCATGGATTCGTCTGTACTCTGGGACTTTCATATAAATGGAGTCAATCATACAATAACATGGGGCATATTGGATCTGGTTTGTTGGTTTCCACTTTTGGTGCTTTCAGTGTTTGTAATGTGGCATCAATGGTGTATGTCCTTTAGGTGGTGGACATTGTTTGGCTATTGTGAATAATGCTGCTATGAGCATTTCTGTATAAGTTTCTTGGTGGGCATGTGTTATGGATTGAATTGTGTCCCCCCCAAAATATGTGTTGTAAATTCTCACCACTTTGTCTGTGGTTATAATCCCATTTGGGAATGAGAGTTGTGGTACCTTAATGAGGCAGGCTTGGAGGCCTGCTGGTGCTGGAGGATAAGCACTGGACTGTAAACCTCAGGGTCAGTGATTCAAACCCACCAGCTGCTGCTTTAAATACTACACTGACTTGAACTGACTTGAAACATTGAACAACAAGAAATGAGGCAGGCTTATTGTCCAATATGTCTTGAGTCAATCTCTTACAAGTAAGACATAAAAGGAGCAGACTAGAAAGCAGAGATGGAGACTTGGAAAGATCTCTGTCAAGCCACATGGAAGTCTCCAAGGACCAGGAAACAGAAGCTGAAAGACAGGGACATTCCCCCAGAGCTGACAGACAGAGAGAGAAAGCCTTTCTTAGAGCTGGCACCCCGAATTTGCATTCCTAGCCTCCTAAAGTGTAAGATAGTAGATTTGTTTATTAAAGCCATCCACTTGTGATCTTTCTGTTATAGCCGCATGAGACAACTAAGACAGCATGTTTTCAGTTCTCCCAGGTGTCTGTCCCATCCACACCCTGTAGAATAGGATCTCATCGGGATTTTGATTTGCATTTTCCTAATGGCTAGCGATGTTGAATATCTTTTCATGTATATCATTGGTATATCAAAAAGTTGTATATCATCTTTGGGGAAATCTATTAAAATGCTTTGTCCATTTTTAATTGGGAGAAGGGTCACTAGCTCCCCATGTTTTGACTTGGAGTAGCAGTGGGACAAGCCTTGGAGACCACCTCCTCCTGTGGTAATGGGCAATAGAAGGGAGGATGGAAAAGCATTGTAATTTTCATATTGGGGACTTTAAACAGCTCTTCCATTGGACTTGAAGTCGGAAGGAGAATGGCTGAAAAACACAGACCCATAAAATACGTGAACCATACCAATAAGAATTTTTTACAACATAGTTTTCATACCATGGTGTAGGTAGGTATCATGGATTCAATTGTGTCCCCCCAAAGTACATGTCACCTTGGCTGGCCCATGATTTTGAGTAGTTCTGCAGTTATGTAATGATGTAATGACCCCAGGATGTCACCTGGTGTGAGTGCCCTAGGCTGTGATCCTTATGGACACGGATCTCCAGTTCTTTTCTGTATGAAGCCACTGGGTAGGTTTCAGTTGTTGTTGTTGTTGTTAACTGCCTTCAGGTTGGTTCCAAGCCATAAAGATTCTGTATAGGGTTCCCGAGGAGCGATTGTTGAACTTGAACCACCGACCTTGTGGCTCAGTCCGACTTTGCAGTCCAGCGCATAGTAGCCCACAGCAGCACACCAGGACCCATAGCTGCTCCCCAATACCCTGCAGTGCATCTCAGCCACTTTACACATTCACCACATACATCTATTCTAACAGGACCTTCCCAGGCTTCATATTACTGCTTCATCTTTACTCATATGAAATGTTTATATTTGGTGTTCTTAAAATTGACGGTTGCTTGAATGATGATGAGATTTTCATGTTTTTAGAATAGTTCTATTTTTTTCCATGCATTGTCTCTTTATCCATCCTACCTTCTTCCTCCTTTTTCTTTTTCTGTGTGTGTGTGCACTATTTTTTAGGAATTCATTATACATCCCAGCACTAAAATAATAAAAATATAAATAATTAAAATCCCAGCACTTTGTTATTTTATGGCATTTATAGCATTTCCATCTGCCACTTGTAATTTGACTGTTAATGTAGCTTTTAATGTATGGGAAATTTGAATGTTTATATCAAATGTAGTCAGCCTTGTCTTTATGGTTTTGCTTAATAAACTTTGTTGATCAAGATCTTCCCAACTCATGAAAATATAAGCTTCTGTTTTATGTTTTAAGTTTTTATCCAGCTATGATTTTAAAATATTTTTTCTGAAATAATGACTTAATTTTATTTATAATAATCTGTCTTGACATGAATTATTGAAAAGATCATGCTTTTGACTGATATGATACTTTGAATATATATTAATTCTCCATAGTTCAGATTTCTTTATTTCATTCCATTTGTATCTTTATTCATTTTGTTCCAGGGCCACACTCTATGTTCTCTTTATACTATATCTTGAAATGAGAAGGGACATCCATACCCATACGTGCCAGTTATTTAGGTTTTTCTTTATATTCGTCACGTAATTTGATACTGTCCTCTCATTTCTACACATCTTATACACTTATCTCCTGGAAATAGCTTTTTATCACACCATCCTCTCTAGGAGAATATTTGGATTTTTTAGCTCAGTGGCTCATTAACATTCTGAGTGCTGGATCATTTGGGTGACCCAGGTGTTCTGATTTAGGGTAGCAGGTCACAGGAATAACCCTTTTTTTGAAAACTCACTGATATTTTTCTGGTTGGAAGGTTCCAGACTCTTCTTTATGATGATATCAGAGTTTACTTGTTATTTACCCCGTCTACAGGAAGAGTAGTCACTTTGACCCCAAAGCTAGGATGAGGACTGAGCGTTCACCTCTGTCAAAAGCACACTGTGAAACTGGGACTTTAAACATGTGACTGATGGTTGGTACGGGCAGTGAGGATGCTCAGGCTCTGCTCTCCCGAGGCTCCGGCCGGTCCTTCTATTGCTGTTCCCAGCACAGTCATTCCTTCAGCCTGCTCTCTGCCTCTCCCTCCTGAACCATACACGCCAACTGAACTCTTCTCAATGAACAGCAGCATGAAAAGACTACAGGGACTTGGTGGTGGACCTTTCCTTTACCCCAGCCTCTCACTTGTCCATAGTATAAGTTTGGGGGGGAGGGAGTGAAAACACACCCATCCACCTGGTCCCATCATCATTTTTCCGTTGTTTAAAAAATAGCTCCATGTATTTAAGAATTCCTTTCCGTTTTCCTCTTCTTTCCAGCCTGGGATGCGAGTCTGGAAATGACAGCTCAGAATATTCCTGAGGAAGAACTATCCCGTAAAGTGGACATAGAAGGATTTACAAGGGAGGATCCTTGTTTCTTTCCTTTAGGTAATGGTTGGGACTATGAGAACCAAGAGGAACATCTGAGACAAATGGCTTTAACTCAAGATAAGTCAGGGGCTCAGGAAGTCGTCTGTGAATATCATAGATTCAGGGCACATCTAAGTACAGGTCCAGATCTTCTGCCATCTCAAAGAGTCTCCACAGCCAACGGGTTCCCTGTACAGAACTCAGATGTAGGTTTGGATTGTAACCAAGTCTGTGCAACGAAGAGAGCTGGTGAAAGGGATGCTGGTGGAAAACCCTTCAGTCAGTCTGTTGACATCATTCCGTTTGGAAGAAACCAAGCGAGAGAGAAAATCTATAAACACCCTGAAAGAGTTCCATCTTTTAACCTTTTTAACCCCCTTGGTGAACAAAAAGTAATGAAAAGAGGAAAGAAACTCTATGAAAGGAAGGACTTTGGTGACATCTTTACCTTAAGTTCATCTTTTAATGAAAACAGGAATCACCCTGGAGAAAAATTGTATAAATGTGCTGAATGTGGCAAATGCTTCAAACGGAACTCCTCTCTTGTTTTGCATCACCGAACTCACACTGGAGAGAAACCTTATACTTGCAGTGAGTGTGGGAAATCCTTCTCTAAGAATTACAACCTGATTGTTCATCAAAGGATCCATACAGGAGAGAAGCCCTACAAGTGTAATAAATGTGGGAAAGCCTTCAGTGATGGTTCAGCTCTGACACAGCATCAGAGAATTCACACTGGGGAGAAACCTTATGAATGTCTAGAATGTGGGAAAACTTTCAATCGAAATTCATCCCTTATTTTACATCAAAGAACTCACACAGGGGAAAAACCATATAGATGTAATGAGTGTGGGAAACCCTTTACTGATATTTCCCACCTCACCGTGCATCTCAGAATCCATACAGGGGAGAAGCCTTATGAATGTAGCAAATGCGGAAAGGCCTTCCGAGATGGTTCATACCTCACTCAGCACGAGAGGACTCACACTGGAGAGAAACCTTTCGAATGTGCAGAGTGTGGGAAATCCTTCAATCGCAACTCTCATCTCATTGTGCATCAGAAAATCCATTCTGGGGAGAAGCCGTATGAATGTAAAGAATGTGGGAAAACATTCATTGAGAGTGCTTACCTCATCAGACACCAGAGGATTCATACTGGTGAGAAGCCCTATGGTTGCAACCAGTGTCAGAAATTGTTCAGGAACATTGCTGGTCTTATCCGTCACCAGAGGACTCATACTGGTGAGAAGCCCTATGAGTGTAATCAGTGCGGCAAAGCTTTCCGAGACAGCTCCTGCCTGACCAAGCATCAGAGGATTCACACTAAGGAGACCCCTTACCAGTGTTCAGAATGTGGAAAATCTTTCAAGCAGAACTCCCACTTGGCAGTGCACCAGAGACTCCACAGCAGGGAGGCTCTCAGCCAGTGTCCTGAGTGTGGGAAAATGTTCAGAAGGAGCTCATCCCTCATCCGACATCAAAGAACACACCCTGGAGAGAAGACCATAGAAATATAACAAATATAGACCACACTCTTCTGGCTAACGGTCAGAAACCTGTGTGAAGGAGGTATGTCTTGAGGTTTGACTTCTCCATGGTCAATAGGAAAGAAATCTTCAAACTCTTCAGTGAATTGATCAATATGAGACTTTCCTTAGCCACATTGTTAAGTCTATAATTGGAAAAATCTTGAGAGAACATGAACCCACAGCTATATTAGTCATTCCACCTCATAGCAACTCAATGCAGGGTTTCGAAGACTAAATATTTACAGGAGCAGATGGTCTCACAGTTCTCCTGTAGAACAGCTGGTGGGTTTGAACCGCTGACTTTGTAGTTATAGGATGATCATAAATGTGGATAAGGGCTTCAGGGATGATCCAATCAGTATCAAGTTTGACAGCACATACACTGGAATAAAATCTGTGAAGATATTTACGCACTTCTGCATCAGCGTGCTTGAGTGGAATGAACCTGTAAATGAAGGTGTTCAGTAAGAAATTGGTGTGAAGAATCCTGCCGTAGTGAGTTACCACCTCATTGTCTATAAACAAACTTACTCGAATCAAACTTTGTAAGTGTAGTCAGTTAGGGAGAGAAACTTTGGGCAAAAACTCATCAAAAGCATACTGATGAGTGAGCCCATACAGTGTTCTACTTTACAGAAACCACTGGAAAGTATTCTGATCAAAATGCCTACCTACATTACAGTGCTGCCGAGTGCTGAGAAGTCTTTTCAGAATGGGCAATGAATGAGGAAGTTGCGTGTGAATGACCAGTGGAGTCTTCCTTTTCAGAAAGAGTCAAACAGGCACCTACTAACATGGGAGGGGCTGCTGCTGAGAACGTGATGTGTTGCTGAAACAGAGCATTGAGTCATTGTGTTTACATCATCATCCCTCTGCTGCTCATTTGGGACAACTCCAGCATGTCCTGTGGCCACTCGGAACCATGATTATAGACTTGTTCCGTTGAAATGCTTATAATATGGCAGGGAACAAAAAGAAGGCAAGCAATCA